ATACATACATACATAACATACATACGTGCAGTCAGCTTACGCATGCCATTGTTTGGCGCCACGGCTGTCGGCACATGTGGGATGTGGTCGTACGAGGTGCGCTTGCGAGCAGCAGCAGCGGCGGTGACAACACCAGCACCCGCTGTCATCCGACGTGCACCCATACGTGCATGCGCATGTGCATGTGCGCTTGTCACTGCGGGCGTGAGTGCTGCGTCTGTGCTGCGGGATAGGGTGTTGCGCTGTCGCGGTGTGCTGGTGGGCGGGTGGCGGTGGTGCTGCCGGCCAACGGCCATATCCAACACGCGACCCGACGGCGCCGTCACGGGGCGGCGCAGGGCAGCCCTTCACACACGCGGCATGAGGGGTTCGCGCAGATGGTGGAGGTTGTGTGTGTGTATGTGTGTGTATGTGTGTGTATGTGTGTGTGTTTGTGTGTGTGTGAGTGAGTGAGTGAGTGAGCGTGTGTGTGTGTTTGTGTGGTGTATTGGGTGTCATACATGGCACATTGCAGAGCGAACACGACACCACAATCAGCAAGCCAGTAGCGCAGGCAATGCTTACACCCCCCCCCCAAACACAGGCAAACAACCACCGTTGTCACCTTTGCATGCCGACTGTGGCTGCACGGGGCCGCATCCCGCTCCGCTGTTCATTCGTTTTCCGCGCACTCAAATCGGGCGAGCCGCGCAGGCCTTGGGGGTTGGACAGTGGACATGATGCATGTGTGTGTGTGTGAATACGTGTGTATACGTGTGAATGTGTGCGTGTGTTGAGCTGGGGTTGCGTGATTCTTGGGACACAAGGAGGCGGCCTTGTCGCGTGGCACCATGTAGTCGTCCTCATCGTCATCAACACTCGCCTGCAACGCACGCACACACACACACACACACACACACACACACACACACACACACACACACACACACACACACACACACACACACACACACACACACACACACACACACACACACACGCACGATGGTGAGGTGTCATGCGAGCTCGCAAATGATGACAACCACGGTGCGGAGGCAGACAAACGTGGGGTCACGGAGGTTGCACGCGCATACCTGGGAGTGGAGGTGTCTTGGTGGGGGTGCGGGCACGGGTGTCATGACATAGTCCTGCCCAGGGACCAGTGATTCTGGCGTGATGCAAGTGCGGGTTGCATGGTTGAGGGAAGGTAGCATGTGGACAGAACGATTGCACACTGAGACAGAGAGAGAGAGAGACACACACACACAGACACACGCACACACGCACACACACACAGACAGACAGACACACACACAGACACACAGACACACACACACACACACACACACACAGACAGACAGACACACACACACACACACACAGACACACAGACACACACACAGACACACACACACACATGTAGAGTTGACTCACCGTCTGGCAAATTGCGCGGGTCCTCTGTCGTTGCGTGTCGCGTTCATGTTGTGGACATGTAGGAGCGTGAGACGGGTGCAGTACAGTGCAGCGAAGCGTGGAGTAAAACGATGTGTGGGAGAAAGAGTGAGGGGAAGTATGCAGTGACAAGGACAGTTGGAGTGAAGACGGCACCAACGCAGACAGACGCACATACGCACAGATGCACAGGGGCACAGACGCACAGGCGCAGGAGGAACACTGACTTGCGTGCAGGTGGAGTTGGCGCTTGACGGTGATGCGCAAGCGAGCCAGCTTGTTAGAGATGCCCATGGCTGCCAGCTCTTCGTCCGAGAGCACAGAGAGGTCGCGGCCCGTCACTTCATACGCCTTGAACACCTGCAGGGTCGTCCACAGCCAAGCACACGTGAGAGACAGGGGTGAGTGCGCTGCGTCGAATCCAGCAGCGGACAGCGCCACACACACACACACACACACACACACACACACACACACACACACACACACACACACACACACACACACACACACACACACACACACACACACACGCACAGCCAGCGGACAGCACAGCATTCCCACACACACCACCTCATCACCTCACACACTGCACATGCACACATGCACGCGTACGTCAACGACGTCGTTTTGGAGCTTGAGGTGCGTGAGCCACACCACAACATCCTCGTGGCTCCAGTCGTCCATGCCTGTCGCTTCGAGTTGAGGCAGCGAAGAAGAGGAACGTGTGCGTGTGTTCGGGAGATGGGGGAGGGGGTCGTGGTGGTGTTTGGTTGTCTGTCACTGCTGTCCAACCAACGGAAAGTGCGCAAAATCCCACATGCAGGCACGATGAGCAAGATGGATGCTGATGGCGATGGTGGGGATGGGACAACACAGCCGCTGCGCGTGCTGGAGTTCTACAGCGGCATCGGAGGCATGGTGGGTGGTTGCTTGTACAGTGTGCCTGTGTGTGTGTGTGCTTGTGTGTGTGTGTGTGTGTGTGTGTGTGTGTGTGTGTGCGTCGTGTGCGTGTGTGCTTGTGTGTGTGTGTGTGTGTGTGTGTGTGTGTGTGTGTGTGTGTGTGTGTGTGTGTGTGTGTGTGTGTGTGTGTGTGTGTGTGTGTGTGTGTGTGGTCGTTGTTGAACCCTCACTCATGTGCGTACACGTGTATGTTTCCTCGTCATCAGCACGCTGCGTTGAAAGTTGCCGATCCCACAGCGCGTGTGCTGCGTGCGTTCGACATCAACGATACAGCCAACAAGGGTACGCGGGGAAGGGGGATGAGAAGGGATGCGCCATATCTTGTTGTTCTTGTCAGAGCACCTTGCACCATTGCTCCTCACATTCGATGTGTGTGTGTGTGTGTGTGTGTTTGTGTGTGTGTTTGTGTACAATCTTGGTCTGCGTCCTGCCAGTGTACAGGCACAACTTCCCAGAGACACCCGTCTGGCAGCGCCTCATTGGTACGCGAGCACTAGCACCATGCATCAACACCATGCATCTGCAGCCCCCTGTCTCTCTCTCTCTCTCTCTCTCTCTCTCTCTCTCTCTCTCTCTCTCTCTCTCCCCCTCTCTTTCTCGCACTTGCACTCACCCAGGCATGCACATTCACGTGAGCCACGGTCCTCGCGCCACTGACTCCTCCTGTTCCTTCGATCAATCCATCCATCCATCCTCCCTTCCATCCATCCTCCCTTCCATCCATGCTTCTCCGCTGCGCAGAGTCCATTCCACGCGAGAGGTTTGAGGGCAAGCTGCAGGCAGACATGTACCTGATGTCGCCGCCATGCCAGCCCTTCACTCGCACAGGGAAGCAGCAAGGCATCGAGGACAAGCGCAGCACCAGCCTTCGCTTCATCCTCGACCTCATCACAACCATGAAGGTGCAGGCACCGCAGTTTCGCGCCAATGTGTGGTTTGATGATGGTTCTTGCCTTTGCGGCGCTGTCACTCGTGCACGCTTCCACCCTCTTCATCTCGGCACGCTGCAACGTCGTGCTCATCACATGCCATGATTGCCATCTGCAATGGTTCTTCAGACACCGCCGCGCTACATTCTTGTGGAGAACGTGAAGGGCTTCGAGTCGTCCAACGCCCGCCAGCCGCTCATATCTGCTTTGCAGTCGCGAGACTACAGCTTCCAAGAGTTTATTCTCTCCCCTGACCAGGTCGGCGCAGTCCACGCCTGTAACTGCTGTTGCCGCTGCTGTTGTCGTTGCTGCTGCTTGTGCTGTTGTCGTTGCTGTCGTTGCTGTCGCAGTCTCTGCTGCTGCTTGTGCTGTTGCTGTGCTCCCTCCATTGTGCTCACACTCCACCCACCTTCCTTCCACGCACATCCAAACACAACCAATTCGTCTCTCTTCTTCTCATCATACCGCTTCACCGCGAGCAGTTTGGCATCCCCAACTCCCGCCTGCGCTACTTTCTCGTTGCTGTTCGCGCGCCTCTCCAGCTGCCATCGCCGCCCACAGGCACCGTGCTCTACCACATCCCGACGCTCGGCGGTGCATTCGCTGACGGCTACTCCCCACAGATTGCCGCGCACTCGTTTCTCCCGCCCGCCCCACAACAGGTGCGCACACACCATGCCTCACGCAGTGCTGTTATTGCGGCAGCACGTGCACGACGGCGATGCACACACACACAACACACACACACACACACAACCTGACACACACACACACACACACACACACACACACACACACACACACACACACACACACACACACGCACGCACGTGCGACAGGTGCCTGGTGTGCCGCCCGTGCGCCCCTGGACCCTGCGCCCAGTTCGTGCCGTCGGCGCATATCTGTCCGCTGACGAGGGCGAAATTGCCGCAAATCTCGTCCCCATGAAGGCACGCCCGTCGCACCCAATGCAACATACTTGTGTGTGTGTGTGTGTGTGTGTGTGTGTGTGTGTGTGTGTGTGTGTGTGTGTGTGTGTGTGTGTGTGTGTGTGTGTGTGTGTTCTCATGAAGGCCTCCACCACCTGCTGTTTGTGTGCGTGTGTGTGTTTGCTTTGCAGGTTGTGTTGCGTCATGGCCAGCTGTTTGACATTGTGGACGCCACATCCCATCGCACCATGTGCTTCACAAAGGCGTATTCGCACTACGCAGAAGGAACAGGATCCGTTGTCCTGGTGCGTCCGGGACACACATGCGCGCGCACACACACACATGCGCGCACACTTCTTGCTTCGTGTTCGTCGTGGCATTGTGCTTATTGCCGGTGTCGGTGCAGTGTGACATGTACCCACTTCATCCCGCACCCACATCTCATTGTGTAACGGCCCAATATGCCGCCTTGTATGTGCACGCGTGCAGGGAGCAAAAGACGCCACGCTGGAAGCCTGCGCGCGTGTATTTGCCGAGGTGGAGGCGAGTAAGGCCCAACCACCACAGCCACAACAATCATCACCACCACAGTCACACCAATCATCACCACCACAGCCACAACAATCACAGCCATCATCATCATCAGCGTCAGCGTCAGCGTCGTCGAAGCCGAGTGACGTGGAGCGGCCGAGGAAACAGGCCAAGAAGCACGAGGGCGCACACGACGATGGTGATGATGATGATGACAGCCATGGCGATGATGGCGATGACATGAATGAGGTACAGGAGGGCGAGGGCACGTCCACGGTGACAGCAGAAGCAACAGCGACGCAACCAACACTGGCGGCTACTGATACAGCAGCTGTTGCAGTGCACACAACAGCCACCACCAACACTGTCAGCACCACGTGTATCGATGCATCCGAGGCGCTGGGGGCGCTGCGCTTGCGGTGGTTCACGCCACGGGAGATGCTGACCATCCACGGGTTCGCAGACACATACACGGTGCCCGCGGATGTGACGGCGAAGCAGATGCGGCGGTGCATTGGCAACGGCCTCAACGTCGTCGTTGTTGCTGAGCTCATCAAATTCATGCTTGCAAGCAACCCCGCGGCGTGACACGCTGAATGTATGTGAGTGAGTGAGTGAGTGTGTGTGTATGTGTGAATGTGTGTGGTGTGTGTTCTTGTGTCGAATAGCTGGCAGTCGTAGGCTTGGCTCCCCTCGTGGTAGTGTATCTGCTTGTCACGTATGTAATGGCGATCAACAAATGTACACAAGCAAGCAAGCAAGGAAGCAGTGGGCGCGAAAGCAGCTCTCACACAACAAAGCAGTCTCTCTGGCGAACAAAGCGGCGGGAAAGAGTATCACGAGGGTCATGCATGAAATGAAGACATGTAGAAGAGCGGTGGTGATGGTTGTAATGGGCAACTAAAATGGAGGCAAGTTGGGCGTAAGGTCAGCAAGCCAGCAAATGCAGGCAGAGGAAAGCAACGAAACCAAGAATGCACACGGGTAAGCAGGCGGGGAACCGTTACGAGTGTGCCACACGCACGTTGTTGTTGACAGCGTGCACTCACACACAAAGCAGCCTCACGCGTTCACACAGGCGTGTCGTGGTTGTGGCATTGCACAGGTGCCACACGTGTGTCGTCAGTAGTCGGTGCGAAGACTGCGGCGGAAACGCGAGCGCGTCACATCCGCAAGCCGCTCGGCCTCATCCCGCTCCTGGGACAGCTGCACCAGGCGGCGCGCACGACGGGCTGCATTGTTGTTGTTGTTGTGGTGTGTGTGTGCGTGTGTTTGTGTGTATGTGTGTGTGTGTGTGTGTGTGTGCGTGTGTTTGTGTATGTGTGTGTGTGTGTGTGTGCGTGCGACAGGGCGAGACATTGAGTGAGTGAGTGAGTGCGTGTACATGCATTGTATGTGTGTATGTGTGTACACGCATTGTATGTGTGTGAGGAATTGTTCTCATAATTAAGTCAACCGTGCGCCACGGATACACAGAGCTGAACATTCCTTCGCACAACGCTTCAATGCATGCACACATCAACACAGCCACGTGCTCACTCACATGCGTCAAGGACGTCGTCCACAACGGCTGCTGGCCGCTCAATCACCGTGCGGGTGGAGGTGTAGTGGGGCGTGGTGTGCCCGTAGCTCGTCGTCGTGTACCGATATGTGCTTGTCTCGAGCGGCCGCGAAATGGTCGTTGTTGTCTCAACAGCATTTGGCACGCGCGAGCTCACGTATGTGCGCGTCGCTCGCGGGCGGTACACAGACCTGAACATCGGATGTGCGTGAAGGTGTGCGTGTGCGGTGTGCATGTGTGTTGGTGTGTTAGTGTGCGTGTGAGTATGCATGTGTGTGTGCGATTGTATACAGTTGCATGCGTGTGTGTGCGATTGTATACAGTTGCATGCGTGTGTGTGCGATTGTATACAGTTGCATGCGTGTGCAACGAAACAACATGAAACATCAAACGTGCACAGCAACTTTGTGCACAGAACGGTACACCCCTACTGCGCCCCCAGCAATACACACGTCAGCAGATGCGTGCAATCATGCAAGGCTTACTCGTCTGTGGAGGTGGTGGTTGTGCGAGTGACCGATTTGCTAGAGGAGGAGCCTTCACGACGACCAATGTATCTGTAGTGAACACAAGGCCATTACGTGCAAGCGACAGCGATCAGTACCTCAGCACGCGATACCACGTGCCACACGTGATGAGATCCAAACGAACCACGCAGTGCATAAGTGGCGACGATGTGTGAAATGCACGTGCACAATTGTGGATCGCAGACTTTTTTGATAATTGCAACTCAATAACACCTCGCGTGGCATGACATGTGCACCTGTGCAATTGCTTCAGATCATCCGCCAGCACGCGCTCGCGCTCCTTGCACGACTCCAACTGATTCTGTGACGAGTGCGCATGTACATGTGCACGGGTGTGCGTGTGAGTGTGTGAGTGAGTTGTTCAATTGTGTGTGTGTGTGTGAGTTGCGTTTAGTTACGTGTTTGCGTGTGTGGTTTGTTCGTGCATGTGGATGTGTTGAGATAGATGTAAGGTTTCAAGACGGTATCATCAACATCAACGTGACAGACGAGCGTGGTGCAACACTTTGATGCAACAGTGCCCCCTGCCCCCCCCCACACACACACACATACACACACTCTCTCTCCGACCACCAACACCAGCCCCTCACACCACGTGATCGCACCTCGAGCGAGCGCTCCTTGGCGGCCGCTTCGTTGCGAACTTCCGCAAGCTCAACCTCCGCCTTTGTTTTCTCCGATTGCAGCTGTTGTGTGCATGTGATGACGCAATGTGCATAGTGTGTGTATGTGTGTGTATGTGTGTGTGTGTGTGTGTTTGAGTGTTTTCGCGAGTCAGAGACAGAACGTGGTGTGAGTGACAGCAAAACCAATGCACGCATTCACACCACAGCTTTGCATCAATTCACACACACACACAATCACACACACAAACACACACACAAACACATGGTTCACCCATGTGCACAATCGCATGCAAGACAGCACACCTCGGCAATGAGCTTGTCCTTGCTTGCAAGGCGGTCGTGGAGTTGGGTTTCATTCTTGCGGAACACCTGCAGCTGCGTCTCTGCAGACGAGAGCTGTGCACGGGTGGTGTTGAGCTCCATCTGCAGCTGATGGCGCGTTTGGTCAAGGTCATCTTGCAAACGCGCAGCCCTGTCATGGTGGTAAACCAGTGTGATGATGCATGATCGAGCAGGTGACAAGTTGGCACATGTGTCAGGTGAGCTGTTGCTTGACTGACCTGAGACTTTGTGTGTGTGTGTGTGTGTGTGTGTCATACTGGTGGTCTTGCAAACAACTCACATTCACGCACATGCACACACTCAAATTCACACGCAACCACGTACACTCGTAACAACAGCCAGCATGAGCGCCCTCACCTCTCGCTTGTGCGTGCGAGTTCTTCGCGGAGGGTGCCACGGTCGCTCTCAAGACCGTGTGCCGTTGCTTCCCTGCATAGCACGTGCATTGCGCACGGAACATCGGCACAGGACGTTGAGACAGCGGCGCGGCGGTGGCAATGACATGAAAGCCTGCACGCTCACGTTCAACACAAACTCGCACACATACCACTACACACACGCTCTCACACACACACTACGCTCGCGCGCATCCACAAGTGCCATCACAAGCGTGCACACTCTGCTCCCCACGCTGCCACGCACAAATCGTATGTTGATGCCTCCTTTGCCCGCAATTCGGCGCGAAGGGCGTCCACTGTCGCCCGAAGACTGTCGTTTTCGGCGTTTGCCGCTGCCAGTCGCTCCTTGGCCACAGCAAGGTCAGCATGCGCAGTGCTATTTGTGTGTGTGTGTGTGTTTGTTTGTTTGTTTGGGGCGTGAGACAACCCGCATATTGTTGTGCATGGTGCAGCAGATGTTGGCATGAGAATACTCCATTCTGCTTGAGAGCTCTGTGATCACACATCACGGCTTATCACAGCAACACAACCACGAACAACAATACGTCGTCTGCTGTATATGCTGTCGAGTCGACTTGTGTCTTACCCCAGCTGCGTGTCGAGGGTGCGCTCTGCGTTTGATCCGCGGGACTTGGCCTCCTCTGCTTCCTGGCGCGCGCGTGACAGGCGCTCCTCAAGTCCAGCAATGACGGCCTGAGGGAGGGGGGGGGGAGATGACAAGCCGCAGGGAATATAGAGAGAGTGAGAGAGAGTGTGTGTGTGTTTGTAGCGTTAGAGCGGTGTCGAGGACTGTACATGAGTAAAGAAGCCGCGCATGAAGATGCAATTGGAGATGTTGTTCATCCAGACACACACACACACAAACACACACAGCATTTGCAAGCTTACTGACGTTCTTGTCGGCGATATCATCACGAAGCGTACCCGCTTGCGCTTGGAGCTCTACGAGGAGTTCGTGCTTGTGGGCGTTTTTGGCAATGAGATCTTGCTGGCTGTCCAGGGCCGCATTCAGCCGATCCCTGAAGCAACGTCGATGGCACGTCACAGGGTGTGAGATGAGCGAAATACCAGGCGCCGTTGTTTGGATGTTGAAAGGTCTTAAGGATAAGTTCTCCGAGTAGAACGACACTGTTGTTGTCTCCTTACCCACTTCCAAAACTGAACAAACACCCACACCCACATCCACACACACACACACACACACACACACACACACACACACACACACGCACGCACGCACACACACACACACACACACACACACACACACACAAACGCGCGCACACACACACATACGCACATCCACACATCCACACACCTGCACGACTTGAGTTCATCCTGGAGCCTGTTCATCTCGGATCGATAGAGAGAGGACTCCTCGCGGCTGGCGGCGGCCTGGCGGCGCGCTTCGTCCATTTGCCGCTCTGCCGCGTGCAGCTATGGGCCAGGTATGACAGCAAGCAGAGTTTGACAGCATGTGCGTGACGTTGTGAGTGTGTACAATTGTGGGCATGTGTGCATGCACGTGTGCAAATTCGTGAACGTGTGTATATACATGTGTGCAGATGCATGTGTACAGTTTGCCGCATGTGGGTTGGCCGAATGGCAAACGAACGAGGCAGAACCGCTCGCTATTCCTCTGACCTGAGTGCGAGCAGCATCAAGCTCTCGCTGCATGGCCATCCGCGTCTCGTATGTTGTCTGGCGGCCGTCGCGCGAGCGGGACAGCTCCCCTAAAGGTGGATTGGATGTGTTGGCGACGCAAGCGCACATGCGCATGTCATGAAAGGGCATTCAGTGAGAAGAGCGAAAGGGCCCGTCAGCCACGAGTATGGGAGCACGCGCGCTGTGTACTTTGCGGATAGCCGAACCACGGCAAGCACAGCAGCTCTTGTTGTGCACGTGGTGGTGTGCATGTTGTGCATGTTGTGCGTGTTGTGCTGGTTTCGTGGACAAACACAAAGAAGCAAAGCAATATTCTCACCGAGGTTGATGGCCTCGGCACGACGCTGGCGGGCTGGTGACTTGGGCTGGTCCATCCTTCCCTGTCTGGTGCTGTGCTGTGTCTCCGTGCGTGTCTCGCAGGTGCAGGGTGCAGGGTGTAGGGTGCTGCTGGAGCAAGGCTGTGTCTGGTCTGTTGCTGCAGCTTGGTTTGGTGGTTTTGTGGCGATTCAAATTTCGCGGCGAGTCACCAAAACAGAATCGTGCACAGTCAGCAATTTTTTTATCCGAAGTGTGACGACAGGCAAACGGGAGGCGACAGGTGAACATGTCGTGGAGTGTTGGGGTGCGGGAAGATGAGGCGGGTGGTCGCACCGACATCAGGGTGCGCGGTGGGGAGGCGCGCGATCACATTGCAGCGTACCTGGAGTACCGACAGCTTGTTGGCGACGCAGATGGCGGCGTGCTCATGACACCAGCTGAATATGAGCGCTACAAAGCAAAGGTGCGCCTCTGTGTGTGTGTGTGTACGTGTGTGTGTGTGTATGTGTGTACGTCATGATGTTGTGTGTTTGTTTGTTTGTTTTCTTCGTGTGGTGAATGCGATGGTGCTGCATCACGCACCATCAACTCACAGCACTGATGCGGGTGCTTATTGCTGGTGCAGCTGAAGGCGGAAGGCAAGTACAGGGAACCGCAGAAGCGGTCAGCAGGAAGGAGGAAAATGACTGAAGCAGAAGAAATGGCCTTCTACGAGAAGCGATACCAAGAACGAGTACGTGCACGGTTTTGTCAAGCCATCGCCCTAGCAAGCGAGCGAGGTGTACTCTGAACTTGCGTGATTACGAAACAATACTCCTGACGGAGTGTGCAACATGCTGTCTTTGGCCTTCCCCTTACGCTGCTTGTCTTGTTGTTGTGACTGGCAGAGGAAGCGGGAGCGGGAGCTGGCCAGGCAAGGGAGAAGCGAGCGCGCAGGGGTTGCGGCCGTCATGGCCAATGGCATCCCGCTTGCACTGCAAGACATGTATCAACAGCTGGAGCTCATGGACCCAGCACCGCCGCTACCACTGCCACCCTCCCACTCGTCCCACGCCCGGGGCAAGCCAGCTGGAAGCGGCACCAGTCGGTCCGCACCCGGCGCTGACGACGGGCCTGTGATGCCTTGGGATTGCGCGTTAGTGGAGCGAGACACCGCGGCGGCGCCTGCCTCCACAGCTCGGAGACGCGCTGTGCGTGATGGTAAGAAAGATCAAGCCACCACTCGCACGCGGGCAAAGCCAGCAGCGCAACCACAGAACAGACAACAGAACCGACAGCAGCGACAGCAGCGACATGGCAGGGGCGAGGGGACGGAGAAGGAAGGAACTGCGCACTCGAGCCGAAAGCCAGCAGAGGACAACGGCAGTGGTCGTGGTGCGGGCGGTGGCAATGCCGTTGGCACTGCAGTACGGCGACCGCAACAGCACCAGGCACGACCACAACAACAACAAGTGCATAATGGTGCATCTTCATCATCATCTTCATCATCAGTAACGGCACGAAGAGCGACCACCCCGCGATCCCGCAAGACGGCCAACCTCACCCCCGCCTCTCGCTACACCAAGCGGTAGTGCATGTGCATGCGTCAGCAAACTGTGCGTGTGTGTGTGGGGGGGGGGTGGAGGAGCTGAAGCAAGCAAGCAGGTGAGATAAGCAAACGCGTGCACCAGTAAACACAGGAGAGGTGATTGAGCAAAGCCGTTATGGCGTGGAAGGAAGGACTTGCTTGAACCAATTTTCCACACATCACATCACCCCATCCAACATGTCGCGGTTTGTGGTGGCGCTGCGGCCGTGTGGACAGCTGCGTGAGCGGCTCACAGAGCCCTTGGAGCTGAGTGCTGGAGTGCACATCCTGGGGCGAAGCCCACAAACCAAAGTGAAGCAGCAGTTGTGCAGCCGACGCCAGATTGAGCTGGATGTCGACACCGCCCGCGGCACCGTCACCCTCAAGCAGGTCAGTGTGTGTGTGTGTGTGTGTGTGTGTATGTGTGTGTATGTGTGTGTATGTGTGTGTATGTGTGTGTATGTGTGTGTATGTGTGTGTGTGTGCGGTTGTCTCCTGCTGGCTGGGCTACCTCTCCCCCTTCCCCCACCTCTCCATGATGAGGCTTAGCTCATGGTCTTGACTTTTGTCTTGAACTGCCACTTCCCCCTCACCTGCCATGCCGTTGTGCACACGATGAGCAGCTTGGCCCAAACGCATGCTCTGTGAATGGACAAACCATCAGCCGAGGTGACCACGCGACAGCTTGCCTGCTTCTCAGTCTGCTTATCATGTTATTGGCTAGCCCTTGATGGCTGACGATGAGCGCCCTGGCCTGTGGCACTGCACCTTGCGGGGCAACCACGTTGTTATCCGCAGGGAACAGTGTGGCGGTTTCGCGAGGCGCCCGCATCTCCATGTTGGCAGACAGTCCAGACGAGACCACGTTCACCCTGGACATCCACGAGTACGCGCCCTGTGGCATGTGTGTGTGCGTGTGTGTGTGTGTGTGTGTGTGTGTGTGTGTGTGTGTGTGTGTGTGTGTGTGCGTGTGTGTATGTTTATGTGTGTATGTGTGTATGTGTATATGTGCGTGTGTGTGTGTGTGTGCGGTTGTGGTTGGCCAGTGCCTGCTTGTGGCCTGACGTGGGTTGATCGTCTGTGCACGTATCCCCGCTCCTGTATTGTGCTTGCCAGGACAACGCCCGAATCAACGCCGCTAACCCAGTTTGACACGTCAGCGTCCAGCACCGCGTCTTCTGTACGACCTGACGCGACTAGTTTTGACACAAAGCCAAGCGCACATGCCCCAGCCATCACCATCAGTGCGTCGCTGTGTCGTGTGTGTGTGTGTGTGTGTGTGGATGTGTGTGTGTGTGTGCGTGTATGTTACTGTACTTGCTTGTGCTTTTGGGACGATACGTACCTTGCGCTGCTTAGATCTCACAAGCAACACTGGCGCCGCCACAATCACCATCACCAACAATATCACTGCTGCAGACGATGCTGATTCATCGCGCTTGACGACACCAGGTGAGCATTGCCCGCCATGTCTTGTGTTGTGGTATGTGCCCATGTCACCTTCTCACTCTGACACAACTTGTGGTTCCTGATGGCGCGCAGGGAAGCGGCCATCCTCCCCGCCACACACAACCTCCCCAACGTAAGCGCATAGAGAACCATGAATCTGCACTTGCACACGGAAACTCACGCACTCACTCACTAATTCACTCTCACTCACTGACTCACTGACTGACTCACTGACTGACTGACTGACTCACTCACTGACTGACTGACTGACTGACTGACTCACTCACTCACTCACTCACTCACTCACTCACACACACACACACACTCACTTATTCAATCGTCACACACACGCACATTGCACCCCTGCTTGTAGCGTGTATAAGGCGGTGACGCCGTTACTGAAGAAGACACTGGACAGCCCAAGCAGCGCAGCGACAAGCAGCAGCGACGTGTCACCAGCGAGTGGTACGAACACTCGTGCACACATTGCATGCATGTGTCTGAGCACATCATTTCAACTCGTCCTTGCCTCGTACGTTTATTGTGAGATGATGTGTCCTTTGCCTCAAGCCGTGTCGTTCTGAATCTCATGTACACACGCATCCGCATATCCATTGTCTCTCTGAATGTAGCAACAAGGTACAACTCAAACGATGTGTGGCTGCATGCGCGCAAACGTGTGTGTGGCTGTGTGTGTATGTGTGTGTGTGTGTTACCCGTCTTTGTCTACGCCTGCGTTTGCATTGTCTCTTCCATATAACACTACCACATGCACACACACACATACACACACAAATACACACACAAATACACACACAAATACACACACAAATACACACACCAACAAACAAACAGGGGAGCGAGGGCGCCAAAGAGGGCGCACCTGCTGGACATTCCTGCACTGCGACAGCACGCGGTCGACCGCAGCACACACGATGACGACGACGATGATACTGACGACAATGGGAGTGGTGGCGGTGATGGGAGTGGTGCAGGGAGGAGGCGAAAGGACAGCAAGCGTGATGATGCATCATCAGCTGTCGGGGCGAGGGTAAGAGGGCGATCCCCAGCACACCGCGCCGCCGCCATGGACACATCCAAGGACACAGCCCAAACACATCACCCCCACTCACCCGACTCGCCCGACACGCGGCGCTCCCGTTCGCGCTCGCCCCGATCACGGGCCGTGGCGGCGGGGGGAACGAGGGAAGGGCGTGGTAATGGTGGTGGTGGTGGTGGTGGTGGTGGTGGTGGTGGTGGTGGTGGTGGTGGTAATGGTGGTGGTGGTGGTAATGGTGGTGGTGGTGGTGGTAATGGTGGGCGGAAGGATGCGTTTGCGGTGCTGATGAGTGGACAGCAGAGGAGACGGGGCGGCGGGAGGGATGCTGGCGTGCACCTACCCAGCACCCACGCCAATGACGGATCAAAGGCAAGCAAATGGGCCAAATCAGGGTAAGATCTTGTGGGTGTGGGTGTGGGTGTGGGTGTGTGTGTGGGTGTGTGTCATACACGAACAGGCCCATTCTCTCACCTTTTCTTTCACCACATACCTTCACACGCACGCGCGTACACGCACACGCACCACCCCACCCTGCAGTGTGGACCACTGGGCAAATGCGCTGACGGAGTTGGTGCGTCACCCGGAGCGCCATGCTGATGACATTGTCTACGAGACCGTCGACACGCTCGTCATCAACGACAAGTACCCAAAGGTGGGGCAGGGTGGTCGCTCGTGTGGCGGGGGGTTTGTGTGTATGTGTGTGTGTGTGTGTGTGTATGTATGCATGTGTGTGTGTGTGTGTGTGTGTGTGTGTGTGTGTGAAGCAGACTGTGTTTTGCTGTTATGTTGCGCTTTTCTCGCTCACGCCCCCCCCCCCACACACACACAGGCGCGGTACCACTTTCTTGTGCTGCCCAAACGCGTGATCACGGATCTGACGTGCCTCACCCGACATGACCGCCACCTCATCCAGGTTTCCACCATACACACATGCGCCCACTCGTGCACACACGTGCGTGCATGTGTGCAGGCTTTCTTCTTCCTCCTCTTATTTCTCCTGCTTGTTCTTGTTCCTGTTGTTCTTGTTCTTCTTCCTCCATCGTCTAATGCTGATGCACTGTTGGCGCTGGCCTGTCGCAACCTGTTGTGCTCGTGACCTTTGTTGTTCGTCTTGTTGTGCGCATCCCACTGCGCAGAGACTGCAGGAGACAGCCATGACCTTTGGCAAGATGATTCAGGAGGACAAGCCAGGCGTCAAGTTTCATACGGGGTTTCACGCCGTTCCCAGCATGAAGTGCGATTGCGCACCCGCTGCATCACGTCGCGTTTTGTTCGTGTTCGTGCTGTGTCCGTGTTTCACTTGGCTGGCTTGAGCATCTCTTCCCGTGCTGCATGTGTCAGCATGTGTCAGCATGTGTTGTCGATCACATTTGGCTCACATTCGTTGTGCCAGGCCTCACCAGCAGTCGTCGTCATCATTGCATGGTCTCGTGCGTGTTTGCAGTCAAGTGCACCTTCACTTGATTTCGCAGGATTTCGACTCTGTGTCCCTCAAGAACAAGAAGCACTGGAACTCGTTCAACACGCCGTATTTCGTTCCTGCTCGCAGTGAGTTGCCCGCTTTATATGTGCTTTATATGTGCTTTTGCGAGTCGCATGTCTGTCCAGGTGTGTTTTTGGTTGTGTGATTGTGTGATTGTCGGCGCACACACACACACCCACACCCACCCACACCCCCCCCCCCCCACACACACACACATGGGTCGCTGAGGTTTGTGTGGTTGTGGGTATATACACACACACATGCTTACAGTCCAGACCCACATCTCCTTTGTCACTCACCCTTGTTCTGTGCTTTCCTTTTGATGTGCGCCCTTTGCTGAACACTATCATGCATGGTCCGGCAGAGGTGTATGAGATGCTGAAGAATGAGGGCCGAATCCACTTTGATGAAGCAAAGTCAGTGGTATGGCCCAGGCGGTAGACACAGCCAGCACTGGCTTGTTCCGCCTGTCTCTGTTTTGGTGTTTTGGTGTCTCTCGCACCGGTTGCTACATGGTGACGTGCTGTGACCTGCTGTCTGAACCGCGACGTACACACACACACACACACACACACACACACACACACACACACACACACAACCACACACACACACACACACAACCACACACCGCACAACTTCAGGTACAAGGAGTATTTGAAGAAGCCGCTGGTGTGCCACCGGTGTCGCCAGGAGATGCGCAACATGCCCACCCTCAAGCGGCACCTTAAGGAGCACCTCACCAACCCCTAGCATTGCCGCATCGCTCTGCTGAGACTCGCCACTGTCCGCCTTTGGCCCCTCCCCCTCCTTTGTTTCCAATCTTTGTGTGCCTTCGCACGCACACACCCTTACTTCACCACCATCGCCATTCCCGTGCTTGCTGCGTCGTTCGTTTTGTGCCTTCTTCCACCCTTGCACCGCTTGCGCACTGATGTGATGTGATGGTGCAGCATAGAGCAACAGGAGTAGAGACAGCAACAGGAGTAGAGAGGACAACAGGAGCAGCCGAGCAATGGAACAACTGAGCAATGGAACAACTGAGCAATGGAACAACTGAGCAATGGAACAACTGAGCAATGGAGCAACGCAGAGACTGAAAAGCAAGCAAGAGCGCACAACCACGCACACGCAACCACACAAAGCACGAGCATGACCATTTTGTGCAATAATTTTTGTCCGGCAAGCAATCACCCACAACCGCACACACTCAGCTTTCTCACCGCACGCGCACACTTCCCTGATATCTGTGTGAACGGTGTGTGTTCCGTTGCTGTTGTTGGTGCTGCTGCGGGCGACCTTTGTCATGTCATGCGCCTTTGCTTGCTTCAACAGCCATGACACACATCTCCCGGCCGCCGTGTGTCGTGTGTGACGTGGTGTGAAAGCCATGTTGCTTTTCGTGTGTCGTTCTTTGGTGAGTGAGGCCATTTTCCATGCGTTGACACACCCTGGAACGCCACACGACCTGACCTGACCTGGCCTTTCAAAAAGGTGACACACGTCAGCACCACACGACAGCCCAACAGCGACAACCAAACCGGCTAAAAGCCAAGCTATACGGTTACGCCACACACACACACACACACACACACACACACACACACACACACACACACACACACACACACACACACACACACGCACACGCCACATACACGCACACGGACGTACGTATCACACATCGCACATCGCACACGGACGCGTGATGGGGGCAGCGTTGACGGTTGCGACTGCTGAGCCAGGTCGCCGCCATGCACGGTTGAGACGACACAACAAACCATCAGCGTCAGGAGCAGGAGCAGGAGCAGGAGCCAGCTCAAGAATGAGCAAGCCGTCAAGCCGCCGCCAAAAAGCATCCCCAGGCACGCGCGTCGTGCATTACCCTCGCACACAATACCTGGACACCGAGCACCAGCGCGCAGGGCACCTGAGCGTGCCGTCAACAGACACGAAGAGCCTGAGCCTGATCAAACTGGCGGACAAGGGCGGAAAGTTTGCCCTCAAGCAAGGCAAGCAGAAGAAAGGGAAGCAACAGCAGTTCCCCCGGCACCGCCGCGTCCGCCGCAGTCGTCGCAAGCACGACAGCTGCTCCTGCAGCTTTGGTGCGCCCGCGTGCGAAAAGCACTTTGCCGTTCGCGAGTGGAGCGAGGTGGAGCTCGTGCTCAACCACTCCTCCAGCGGCGCAGGCAGCGCACGCCGCTGCCGCATCAACACGCTCAAGACCGACACCACCACCTCCGTCCACTTCTTGGAGCCCGTGTCATCGCCACGCGCCCTGAGCGATGAGAGCGCCGACCCAGTGTATGTGACGGACGAGCACGGCAACCGCGTCGTTGTCTCCTGGTACCTGCAACTTGAGCGCGATGACCAAGATACGAAGGACAGCGACAGCAGCAGCAGCAGCAGCAGCAGTGGCGGTGGTGGCGATGGTGTTGGTGGCAGCGACTTGGCCGCCAAGAAGCAGCAGCAGCAGCAGCAGAAGGGACAGCACGAGCCAGGCTGCGAAGGAGACGCCCACGGCAGCAAACAGACTGGTGATGGCGATGATGTGGTTGAGTCATTCTACAGCGTGCTTGCCACACACAGCGTCACCACGCCAGCTGGCATCGCGCCACCCCAGCCGCTTGCCACGATCCAGGAACAGGAAGAAGGAGAAGAGGAGGAACCAGAAGCAGAAACCAAGGGGACGGTGGATGCGCAACATGTCGAGCAGGCAATCAGCGTCACCGTGTGCGAATCTGAGATTGTTCAGACGCACCGACAGCAGCAGCAGCAGCAACAACAACAACAACAGCAACAACAACAACAACAACAGCAACAACAACAAGAGGACAACACGGAGGGGGCAGCAGCAGCGCAGGGGAGCGAGCAGACCACCAATGACAGCAAGAGCGACCCCAAGACCAATGCTCACGCACACGACGACGCAGCACAGGAAGTGGAGGAGCAGGAAGCGAGTGAAGCGGACACGGACGACACTTGCTTGTTCCACCACCACCGCCATGCCTCGCTGGGCGACACCATGGTGTCTTGCCCACTGTCACCGATGGATGTGGTGCTGCGCCAACGCCAGGCCCGCGCAACCGCGCTCGCCGCCGCTGCAACCGCAACTACAGTGAGCATGGCTTCATCTTCAGACGCCAAGACTGCACCCGCGACCAGCACGACCAGCACGACCAGCACGAGCTTTGCCTCCCTGCCTCAGCACAGTGAGCATGAACTAGGAGCAGGAGAAGACCCAGATAACGCTGTGCCAGCGCTCTCCGCCAGCACAGACTCCCTACCCCCACCACCACCGCCGCCACCGCCGCCACCACCCGCCCCGGAACACGACGCGGCCGAATTGGGTCCGAGCAGCGTCCTGAGCAAGGCTGCGGCGATGGAGGGCCAAACACTGTTTGCTCCGCGCTCGCCACCACTGCCGCCGCCACCGCCACCGCACATGTTGTGCGGGTCACCATCCCTACCACCATCCCCACCATCCCCACCATCACCACAGTCGCCACCGCCACCGACGACGAGGCCGATTGTGGCGTTTCCGCCCCCACCGTCAACCCCGCCCCCACCGCTGCGCGCACAGAGGGATGAGACGCCGCAGCGGCGGTGCATCTCGTGCCCGCACCATCGCCAGAGGTGGTCGTTCAAGCGCGAGGAGACGACCGAGTTGTGGGTGTACCCGCTGATGGGCGATGCGCAGGTGGGTGACCTGCTCCACACCATGCTGACGCCCAAGGCGTACTATGTGCTGTGCCGGTGCTGGTGCAGCATTGGGCACTGCTGGCGCGTGTCATTCCTTGACGATGCCGGGAGCGTTGTGCACCACAGCCTGGCGCACGCGCCAAACGGGCGGGTGTATGTTGACGGTGTGCTGATGGCGCACCGCCGCTTCAGTGACCTTGCCTCTGCCCTGTTTGCATGGCTGGAGCTGAACCAGCCCCAGCTGCGCTTTTGTGTTCGCCCATGTATCGTTGTTGTGTGATGATGCCCTGGACATGCGCATGTGTGTGTGTGTGTGTGTGTGTGTGTGTGTGTGTGTGTGTGTGTGTGTGTGTGTGTGTGTGTGTGTTGGCATGACTGCCCCAGCTTCCAATGTGCCTGTTTTGTTTGTGAAGTTTGTTTGCCTGGTTGTCACAACCTCACAACATCACCTCACAGTATTGCTTATTGCTGAACTCTGTTCATATGATGTCCATATGATGTCCAACCAATCCTGTACACACAACCAAGTGCAAAGCCCTGAGAGGCCCAGGTTCAGACAAAAAGCATTGTGAGCGCGTGTGAATGGTGTGGAAAGAAGGGGAAAATGTGGAGGGAGGGTGGTTCACAGCACGGAACGACGAACACCGCCTCCTGCCAAAGCACGTGCGCGACAGCATAAGTTGTAGGAAATTGTGCCCCACCGGGAATCTTGAAAGGCGTGGAAGCGCGTGCATGTTTTCGTTCTTTCGTTGTCAAGACGAGTTTTGTTTGTTGGACGTCTGCTGTGTGTTGGTTGGTGTGCGCGCATCCCACCAAGATGTGTGTCACATCATCACATCACATCATCACCGATCGGCGGGTGTGGTGACGACAAGAACCTGACAAACAGATGTGGGTGGTGTGAAGGTTGCCCGCCACGCATGCACGCGTCTCAACGCCAATCAATGGAAGAATGGAGCAGTGTAAACGTGTTCTCAGGCAGGAGATCATGTGTTGAAAATGAACGCCTGAGCTGGCTTCAGACAAGGCTCTCTATTCTCTCCATTTTGGGCATCAATTCACTGTGGCGCTGAAGCGCGTTGTGTGCATCTGCACCTGCATCACACATGATGAAAGAGACAAAGAAGCAACAGCCACACAGAGGCAAGGAAGGAGATACACGAGCGTGACAACAAGGACAACACTAGCACCCAGCATAACCAGCAAGACACACACACACACACACGCCACTCAAGGAGCAAGCGTTTAGCATGAGGCGCACAAAACACCAAAACACGTACACACACACACATAAACGCGTACACACACACATTAACGCGTACACACAAAACACACACACGCGCGCACACACACACGCACACACAGACAGACACACTTCAGCGCTGGGTGATGAAGTAATGAGTGAGACATACAAATGCTGTTGGGGATGGGATACTTAGTCAAGGGGAAATGAAATAAAAACAAGCATCCTACCAGCCAACAAAACAAGCAAGGGGGCCAGTAAGGAGCAAGGACACAGTGCGAGAAGGAGGTGTGAGGGACATGTCACAATCAGCGCCAATGCGAGCGGCGTTCTGGCTTGATGACGGCAAAGGGAAAGTAGCACGCTCAAACACTGAGGATGGGGGTCAGCATAACTTGTGGCTTAGGAGCACAGCGAACATGGCCGTGATATGTACAGGCGTTGCTCTGAGACGCAGTGGGCGCTCGCAGGCGTGAAGGCGTGTGCGCGCGCTTTTCGAAAAATGAAGTTGCAATGCAATGCAGGGTGGCTATCCTTCGTGCTCGTCGTCGTCCGGCATATCAGGTGATAACTGGCGGTTAAAGTCTGCAATCTTTCGACGAAGCACTGTGGTGAGGTGCGTGCGCGTGTGGGAAAAAGATGTGGCTGGGGTGAGCAAGCACGACGGAACAAGCAACGCAAAGCAATGGTGACAGAATGCAGATGAAACAGCCACGCGCACTCACAATCAGCACACACACACACACATACACGCGCATGTGACAGGGGCGAGTTTTGTCACGCCCACCGCACCCAAATTGCACAACCAACGAAACTAACGAAACACAAAACAAAGCAGCACGAACATCAGGCACCCAATCATCACAACGGCACCATTCAACACAACATAACACAACACACACACACACACACCACGCACGCACACACACACAACACACACACACACACACACACACACATTGTTGCATTTTCTTCGGGAATTGGCGACACACGGCGATGGTGCGACAACGCGTGCAGCGGTGATCTAATGTAAGCATGAGGGGTGCGCAGGTGTGACAACAGGGGGTTTAGCTTCACGTTACAAGAAGGGAAATCCAGAACGCTCAACCACGTTGCGGAGCAACACAGAAAGCAGTCAGCATTCGTACGTTGTGACTGGTCAAACTTGAACGACTCCTTGCCACAGGTGTACTGTCGTTCACATCCTCGCGGCATAGTCTTCAAATCTTGGAAATGCGGTCACCAACAGACATCGAAAACGCCACCATGGTGAGTCGAGCGGTGCAGGCTGCACAATCACACTCGGCTTTTCTTCGCCTTCTCCTTGTGCGAACGCATGGCATTGATGATGCTGCTGTTTTGTTGTTGTCGCTGCTGTCTCTCTTGATGATGATGTTGTTGTGGTGGTGGTGGTGGTGAGCACACGATACCTTCAACAAAGGCTTCTAAGGTGTAAGAGGGGTCAATTGCTCTCTGCTGCCTATCGATCCACTTCAAGATGTCGTTGTACACGCCACTGTAGCACACGTTGCAAATACTGCGCAGTGCGAAGTAACGTCGTCGTGAGGTGCAGAAAGAGAAACAGAGAGAGAGAGAGTGTGTGTGTGTGTGTGAATAAGTGAACGAGCGAGCAAGCGAGTGTGTGTGTGAATAAGTGAACGAGCGAGCAAGCGAGTGAGTGAGTGAGTGAGTGAGTGAGTGAGTGAGTGAGTGAGTGGGTGAGTGAGTGAGTGAGTGAGTGAGTGAGTGAGTGAGTGAGTGAGTGAGTGAGTGAGTGAGTGAGTGAGTGAGGGAGTGAGTGAGTGAGTGGGTGGGTGAGTGAGTGGGTAAGCACAGGCGCTCAAACGTACGACAACGTCGAAGCACAATCAACCACGGCCACCACCACCACCACACCTTTTGATGGGTTTGTGGCTGGAGCGATCACAGATGGGGCAGAACTGGTGCTGGCTGCCCGAGGCGTGCGCTGCTCTGCCCGTGGGCCCGCCCGTGGGCGTATCTGGCCCTGAAGACGGCATGAGCCCGGTGTCCATCGATGGCGAGGGCACGGACGGGGAGTGCTGCGATGAGGCGGAGTCGTGATATGGCTGTGCTCGCGCAATGGCCGGGGGTGGTAGGCCCGGGCCTGGGCCAAGGTGTGCAGCCCCGCTGGCCGAGGGAAACACCGGTGGTGCTCGCGCTGGCCGCTGTGGCGGCGCCTCTGCGGTCTCAAAGAACATGCTTGCCACGCCACGGGCCGTGTCGTGAGCGGCCGGAAGACGGAACTGCAGACGTTGCTGCTCGTTGGGTGCGTCCGCTCCGAGACGCTGGAAAGCAAACCCCATCGCTGTGCGCGCCCGCGCACCCGCCCGAAGCGAGCCCCGCACATGATGTGCAGGCTGCTGCTGTTGTTGTTCTTGTTGGTACCACTGCTGCTGCTGCTGCTGCGTGTGTGGGGCGTGTGCACTATCGACGCTGGCAGCACTCGTGGTGTCGTGCTGGCCACAGGCCCGCGCCATGACGCCCGCCATCACAGCCATCAGCATGTGCTCCTCTATCCGTGCCGTGCCAGGGGCGCGCATTTCATTGCCGTTGTTGGCGCTGCCGCTGCCCGTTTGCTCGTCAGCTGCAAGCAGCATGGACTTGGGCGGCAGGCTCCCGTGGCAGGAGATGGGCATTGACTCGTTAAAGCTCCGCTTCATCCTGTGCCCGCCTCCTTCGTGCGTCCTCATTTCTCCCATCGATGTGGCTGCTGTTGCTGCTGTTGCTGCTGCTGCTGTGGGCGGCTGTATTGCGGCAGGGAGCTCAATCAGCGGCGTTGCTGCGGACGACAGCTGCGGTTCAGACGCGGGCGCTTCGAATGCATCGTCTGGCTCGAGACGTCGCCCCACAGGCCACGCCACGTCCAGGGGGGATGGGTCTGCCAGGGAAAGCGGCACCAGAGGTAGCGGCGTCAGGCTGCTGGGCTGTCGCTGCGCGTGTGCCTGTGGTTGATGTAGCAAGCGAGCAGAGGATGTCGGGTAAAGAGTCGCCAACGCGAGGCCCGTGGAGGCGGGGTTGGGCAAGTGTGAAAGCGAGCAGTGTGATGGCGACGTTTGTGCCAGCGCGTCGTGGAAGGCGCGACTCATGTCGAGTTCTGACGCAGCCCAGTCACGAAGGGCTCCCCCGGTGTGCTTCTGCTCCTGTTGTTGTTGTTGTTGTTGTTGTTGTTGTTGTTGTTGTTGTTGTTGTTGTTGTTGTTGTTGTCGTTGTTGTTGTTGTTGTTGTTGTTGTCGTTTAAAGGCGTCGAGAATGGCGGCGGGAAGGAAGGCAGGCAGGTCGGGGTTCTGCCGTTGCGTGCGCTGTGCCGGTTGCGTGTGTGTCCGAGTGTTGGACCATGCCAGTGTCATGGACGGCGAAGTGTCCACGTGCTGTTGGTGCTCTGCTTCTGTGCTGGACTGCGAGGGCGCTTGTTGCTGGCGTTGGTGGTGACGGGGCTGGTGTTCGCGACACCGTGGCACGGCTGCCGGCGGCTGGGGTTGCGATTGGCTGTTGAGGAAGTAATTGAGAACCGTACGGCAAGCAGTTGGGACGAGTGACTGTTCACAGCTGGCGGGTACCTGATCATGAATCCACTGCCCAAGCACCTGCTTGGCAAAGGCAAGCTGAGAGACTGCTTCTGCTTGGGTGAGTCGCACGTCACCTTCGCCACCTTCTTCAAGCAGCTGCTGTTGCTGGTGGTGCTGAGCATGTAAGCCTTGGCTGTCGTCATAATCCTGGCCTGTACTCGAGGTTGGTGTTCGCCTTCGTAGTGGGTACTGTTGTTGTTGTTGTTGTTGTTGTTGTTGTTGTTGTTGTTGTTGTTGTTGTTGTTGTTGTTGTTGTTGTTGTTGTTGTTGCTGTTGTTGTTGTTGTTGTTGTTGTTGCTGCTGCTGCTGCTGTTGTTGCAGTTGCTGTACGGCTGCAAGCAGCGGTGTTGACGATAACAGTGCGGTGCCTGCCTCATCGTTGCTGGCGATGGTGTTGTTGTTGTGGTTGTTGTTGTTGTTGCTTGCAGGGGCGTAGCATGTGCTGCCAACCGGGTCGGCGCGCGCTGCCGTTGCCGGGCCCTGCCCGCCATCTTCCGCCATGCCGGGAGGCTGCTGTGTGGCGGAGCATGCAAACGACTGCGCAGGACAACGCCCTGGTGCCACAAAAGGTGGTTACCGGCCACTGGGGATGGGTGATGCGAGGGAAGGAGGGTGCTGTGGGTGGGGACGCACTGGCCAATCAACTTGAAACAACTCCATCAAATGTCAACAGCAGCCTGGGAGTAAAGGTAGGGCTGGCTCGGACAGGGACTCGCTTGGTTCTGGGCCGCATGGCAGAACGATGGGCAAGAACCCCCGGGGGAAGGAGGATAGAAGAGTGAGTGTTGGAGGGCGCGTGCGAGGTGGGTAAAATTGTGAGAGGCATGGTTGGGGACGAGAGGTAGGAGGAGTGAGTTAGGGGGCGGGGGAGGGTGGCTGAGACCGGAAGAAGACAACCGAAGAGGTGGTGGCAGCGAAATAATTTTGTGGTGAACTGGTGTGGTGGTGCGTCGTTGCACAAGATGAAAAACACCAAACAAACATGTGTTTGTGCGAACGAATGTGTTGGTGTGGTTCGGTCTTGAGTGCTTGGTACGATGGCGGAGTTTGCTCTTGAATGTGAGCGTGATGTGCTGGAGACGGCGCAAGACTGAGGTGCAGACGCATGTACACGCACCTGTCTGTCAGTGTGTGGTTATTTCTTTGGTGCGCTGTTGTGCTGTCCTCCTCTGGGAGGCCTTGGAGGGCTCTGGTAAAACGAGCAGAGGTGGAAACAAGAGGAGGGAAGGAAAACAATGGGCAGGCGGGCTGAGGAAGGGCGATGGGAGCTGTGTGCCTGCTGGGTTGCTGTCGATGGCTGGTGAGGAGGAGGAATGCGAAAAGAACGGGCTGTAGTTGCTGTGGACAACAGTTGAGTGGGCGAGTGGTGCATGTACACACCTGGCGATGAGCGTGCAAGCGCACGAAGCGCAAGGCAGGCACGAAGCAGCCGCGAGGGAGTGAGAGGTGAGACATGGTTGAAGGTTGTGTCGTATGGATTGTTCAGACAAGAAAAGCGGGGAACACAAGGAGGGGGGGGGGGGAATACAGCCTCTTGAAGGAAGTGGTGCGTGCAATTGCGTGGCAATACCAAGCAGCGCAGACAAACGCGAACGAAGAAGAAAAAAACAAAAACAAGAAGAGTGCGGCAGACAAGAAGGCAGGCAAGGGAGTGACACGTTGCGTTGCTGAGTGTCTGTGTGTCTCACCTTCGCTACGACACACGTGTGTTTGTGAGTGAGTTGGTGGTGGTGGTGGTGCTTGGCGAGTCGAGTGGGAAGAAATAAGTGTCGACAACGTGCTGGATGCTCTGGGTTGTTTCGTTGCTCCAAATGCAACCAAGCTTGGCGTGGCTTTTGGGGTTTCAGCAGCGGCTCAGCGTTGGCTGAAGAGAAAGGATAGTTCCACGTGACCCGAATGCTTTGGACGTCTGTGCAGCGTGCAGATCTACCGACACAGGAGATCAAGGAGAAGAATGTGTGTTGTGTGTGGTTGGTGATGGTTGTGCGTCGTGTTTGTGTGAGAGGAGCTTTCGCGCGCGTGCAAGTGGATGCCACCGCATGAATGCAGCGCACAACCGCACGAAGGTGAAGCACGCGAAGGAATGAAACACAAGAGGATGGCAGGTGGGGACAGGTGGAGGTGATGGTGATGGTGGCGGCGGAGGTGGTGGTGGATGTGCCTGTGTGATGCTTGCAAGCAACCGAGCTACCAGCCACACGTGTACACAGCACTGCATACATGCAGAACACAGTGCACATGCAACACACACACACACATGCACGCAATGCACACAGAGCACAGACGACAGATGCACAAGCGACCCAAACCACGTCAAAACACACGCCATGAAAGTACAGGCAGACAGGTGTGTGTTGTGTTGTGTGGTGGCATGGCTACACACTACACATACAGGGTGGGGTGTTTGAAGTGCAGGGTATCTGCGAGTTGCAAGTGTGCGAGACGCACGCAAACGCCTCGCTGGCGTGCAGACACAGCGTGCACACACACACACACACACACACACACACAAGGAAAGGCAAAGGGCCACCAATTCTCTTCTAACTGGAGGGCACAGCCTTAGTGGTGGAGTGTGGCTGACTTACGTGTGATGTGACAAGAAGGTTGGCGAGAGCAGAGGAGGTTGTTGATGCGTGCGCAACCGGCACTGCAGCGTGCGTGCGTGTGAATGTGCGTGTGTGCGTGTGTTGGGTGGGTTTGGACACACGCGGGGTAGAGAGGCAGAAGAGAGGTCAGGGAGAGCAAAGCCCTTTGAGGGTGTTGTGGCGAGCAGAGTGATGCCTGGCTGTGGATGACGTTTCGCGTCAGCGAGTGTGGCTGAGACCGTTGGTGTTGGTGGTGCCGTGTAGCTGTGGTACCTGGGTCGCGGCCGGGTGGTGTGATGGATGACGACCCGTGTATTTTGCCCTCAGAAGCCACCGCCAATGCCAGATGTGGGTGCTCTTACACGCTGCAAACAGGTAGGTTTCACTTCCCCCACACTGACCACGGAAGAGGGCAGCGCGGGTGGTTGGTCACTCTTGCGGTTTGTTCTGTTTCTGGAGGAAAGAAAGCCAGCGCCAAGACGCAGTTGATGTGAGCCGGGTAGGCCAGGCCAATCAATCAATCAACACACGGACAGCGTGGGAGAACGCTGCGTCTGCAATCCAACCAACCCAGGTCGGTGAGGAGAGGTACGAAGAAGAAGAAGACAAATGCTTGCTCACTTCTTGCTTGCTTGCTTGCTTGATGGCGCGCCGGTGACGCGGGGATGAGGCAAAGGGAAGCCCGCAACGAACAAGGCAGGGAAAAGGCAAGGCTAATTATGCGAGGCAAGGCAAGGTGCACCATTGCACGGCAACACGGGTGCAGTCAGTGAGCGGTGCAACTGTCACGCTGGTTGATTGATGACGGCATGTGCTGGAAGCGGCGGTTCGTTCGTTTGTTTGCTTTCTTGTGGGCTTTGTGGGCTCTGTGTGGTTTGGTGGCTGCCTTGCTCACGCACCCATGATGCCGCGCTGATGTGTGACAACGTGTCAAGTTGTGTGTGTGGCTTGGGAGTCTTTGTTTTGTGTTTGGTTTTGTGTGGGAACCAGCAAAGGCGCGCGTTGGTTGCGTGGAGACGAGGCGTGGTTGCACACATCACGTGTCTGTGAATGTTTTGCCCCGCCGCGTGGTGTGTTGCATGCATGCAAAACTCGGTGTTTTGTGAACTTTTAGAACAGGCCAACGGTTGGCCAAACCGGGCAATCGGAGCGCGTACGGAGCGCCGTTGTTGCACATCAAAAACACGCATGGGCGCACTTAATCGCGCTCGTCCATGTCATCTTCGCTTGAGACGCGGCGTGCGTTTGGGGCAAGCACCGTCTGCGCGTATGCAGAGAGGGAGGTGGTGAGCGCGTTGATGGCGTTGATGACGAGCACCGTCGAGAAGCTGTCATACAGCCGCACCGGGCACTTGGTCGTGAGCAAGTGGCTGCACCACGCCCACCCAGACACCGTCTTGGGACCTTGGTCGCGGGGCGCGAGGGCGCGTGCGCGTTGGAAAAACAATGGCCAAGGCAGAAGGGGACAAGGGAGAAGAAGCACGAAGGAGGATGGGAAACGAGAAGCAGTCCGTGATATGTGGGCGCGCAACAAACAATCGCACGGCAACAATCGCAAGCAGGCGTCGGAGGCCCACGTTGGGCAAGACAAAGAAAGAAGGAGAAGGGGCACAGATAACAAAAATTTGTGACGTTGATGTGATTGCCGGCCAGCGAAAAGCGGGGTGGGCGATTAATGTTCGGGACAGGCCCGGTGTGGGAGGCAGGCGCGTGGGGCAAAGAGGGTCAAAGCAGTAGGGAACGTGGACGTGAGCAATCAAATTACTCCAATCAAGACACTTAAGCGTGCTTTGCCATGCACAAGGTGATCCCCGACTCAAAACGGGACATGCAGAAGACATGCAGCATGACGTGATTTTGTGCTGTTGTTAGAGTTGTTGGAGTGTGTGTGTGTGTGTGTGTGTGTGTGTGTGTGTGTGTGTGTGTGTGTGTGTGTGTGTGTGTGTGTGTGTGTGTGTGTGTGTGTGTGTGTGTGTGTGTGTGTGTGTGTGTGTAAGTAGTGCGTGTCTGGGCTAGCCAGAATGCCAGAACAACCGCGACAAGCTACCTACGCCACGAGAGTAAGAGCGCGCATTGTGTTGCTCGTCCCTTAGGGCACATCTCCGAAATCATGCAGCTAACATGCAGAAGTGGCCTGAACGGAACAAGCCAACACTATCCCCCTGCACGTAATGATCGAATCTAGTGTGTGCTTGTGTGTATGTGTGGTGGTGTGGTGTGTGTGTGTGTAGTGTGTGTGCTTGTGTGTATGTGTGTATGTGTGGTGTGTGGTGGTGTGGTGTGTGTGTGTGTGTGTGTGTGTGAACGGCAGGAGCACGCACGTACCAATGATGACACGTTGCAGGAGGGCGTCAAAGGGCACGAGAACCACATCGGGGCCGGACAGGATGCCAAACACAAACACGCCAGACATCAGCGGATCGCGGCTGGTATGTCACACGACGTAGATGGCGCATGCATTAGTGCGTGAGTGTGAGTGCGTGTGTGTGTGTGTGTGTGTGTGTGTGTGTGTGTGTGAGCACGGGAAAGAGACAGCGGGCGCATCAGGAGGTGGAAAAGGCGGCAGCATTCAACACTTGAGGTTGATAGACACAACAAACAACAACAACAACTTAAACAACAACTTAAACAACAACAACAACAACTTCAACAACAACAACAACTTAAACAACAACAACAACAACTTCAACAACAACAACTTAAACAACAACAACAACAACAACTTAAACAACAACAACAACAACAACTTAAACAACAACAACAACAACAACTTAAACAACAACAACAACAACAACTTCAAACAACAACAACAACACAAGCAACTCACGGGGGTTGGATGTTGCTGCGGATGGCAAACCGGAGTAGACTGAGGACAAAGGAGCGGGCAAGCAGCACCTGCCACCCACGAAACAGCGACGACACGCCGTGCTCACGGACCATCTGCATGGGCGTGAGTGTGTGTGTGTGTGTGTGTGTGTGTGTGTGAGGTAGTGTGCGTGTGTCATGAGCGGTATGAACACCCATGCCTTTGCACGTCTGCGACAACAATAGTGTACAAGGAAACACAAGGAATCTCTGATCTTCATTGTGACACTTAACCAGCATGACATGGTCTTGGGCAACACGTAAGACAAAGAGCACGGAAGCTTTCCACCCACTTGCACCACACACACACACACATACACACATACGCACACACATACAAATACACAAAGACACAACATCACACCATCACACACCGTGAGGAAGAACGAGGGAAGCGACGAGTATGTTGCTGTGGAGAGGATGTCTGTGGAGAGGTGGACAAAGGCCGATTGCAGGGGCAAGGCAATCAGACTGGAGACGAAGAAGGAGGTCGTGCCAATGGTCACAGACGCCAGGAAGCGCTGCCACCCGCTCAGCGGCTTCGCCCTGCACGGAAACGAGAGCGAGTGGTGTGCACGTGTGTGTGTGTGCGTGTGCGCGCGTGTTGTGTGTGTGTGTGCGTGTGTGCGTGTGTGTGAGCGGGATTGGTGATGCAGAAAGCGCAGCGTGCTGTTGCGACGTGCAACGTGAGTTCAATGACAAGTCCGCAGACGTGATGCACACAACAGGCAGGCAGACAGATGGCTATGCATGGGAATAAGCATCAACACATTGAAACAGACACACACAGCCACACACACACACACTGCCACACACACACACACAGACACACTGCCACACACAGTCACACACAGACACACACACACACACTGCCACACACAGACACAGACACAGCGTATCAACTCACTGTCGACTGTCATTTTGGCCCCGACCGGCGATTATGGTCACCAGGTCTGTGACAACAGAGGTCACGCGAGGCACAAGGGACTGCAGCGCCAGGTCGTGGAGAGCAAATGCAAAGCTCGCTCGCCAAAGTGCACGCACCCTTGAGGCCACACGAGCAGCATCAACACAGGCAGCAATGGGTGAGTAGACAATAGAAGCATGAGAAACACAACCAGCACGTGTGTGTTGTGCGTTTGCGTTGGTGGCTGTGAGCTTGAGCGCGTCTGCTTCCCTCTTTCTCTCTCCTATCTACATGTATGTGTGCTCTGTTGCTGCATCGCTGTGCCATCATAGGCTGTGGTCACACGGCAGGTGTGTTTCTTTGCTTGCCACTTCTTCTTCATGTTGGTTGCACATGGACTTACGAGACAGTTTGTCTGAGGCTCTTGATGAGCGCGCCCATGCTGCTGAAGTTGATGCCGGGGACCTTGAGGTCACTGGAACACGCAAACCACAGCTTCATGTTCTCAAGGGGCAGGAGGAGGCCAACCTGTCAGCAGGACACCGAGCAACAGCCATGCGCGTGTGGTGCGTTCATATACATGTGTGTGTGTGCGTGAGTAAGTGCATATGTGTGCGTGCGTGTGTTTACGCACATGTGCGTGCGGGCAGCAGGAGGTTGACAGAGGCACAGCAACGCTTCGACAGAGGCACAGCAGCACGTCGATGCAGCGGCCATCAATTCACAATCACTCTACCTTTGGCAGCTCCACCATGGTGGCCCACACAGCATTGCTGGCCAAGTTGATTGCTGTTCATGTCGAGTGTGGGTGAGCACGGCAGTGGTGAGCACGCAGACACGCGTTGGTCTTCGCACCAAGCACACCACCACACAGTGAGCAAAGAGTCACAGCGCAAACAACAAGACATCACACACACACACACACACACACACACACACACACACACCACGCACCAATGTCAGTCATGACTGCGCTTGCTGTCTGTTGCTTGCTGTTGTTGGGCTTGTTGATTTTTATGGTGTCGCACAACCGCAAACAACTCCACAACAACCAACCAACACCCACGCTCACACGATGATGTGAGATGTTGTGTCACAATCATGTCATCACACACATGCTGGAAGAACAAACAAACAAACGCACAGCCGCGCATCGTCATATCGTCATGGAGCGGTTCGTAATGTAACACGCATCGCAGGCAACCCAAGCACAACCCAAGTGTGCGCTGAACACGCGCGCCAACCCGCCGCCATGGCACAAACGTCGTGCCACATCACAACGTCGTGTCAGCCATGAGCAACCACTGGCCCATCGCTCACTTGAGGAGGGCAACAAGAAGCTTCTCGTAGTCGCCAGAGCAGTCGTCCTGGGCCAAACACAGAGGCGCGCGATACGCCGCAAGCACAGCGTACAGGCAAAAGGCCATATGAGGTGACGGTTGTGTTCAAGTGAACACGTGAACCAGAGAGCGGCGACAGCGCAGGATACCACCACACTTGCCCCAACGATAACAACCACGAAAGCGACAACAACGACAACAACGACAACCACTGCAACGCACCTTGACGGCTGCAACAAGGCTCTTCTCGTACTCGTCAATGTACGCCTCGGCAATGTCGGCGAGATCCTTCTCCGAACTGATGTAATTCGTTAAAATAAAAGAGTGACATAAAAACGCGGAACCAAAGGAGAAGGTTGCATGAATGAGTGCAATTTGTTCGCGTGAAAATATGGGAGTAATGCTTCACGGAGCGCGCGCGCGCGTGTGTGTGTGTGTGTGTGTGGTGCACGAAATCGCCACAACGGAGCGAGGGTCAAGCAAACAAGCACGCAAGCAAACAAACAAACAAGCAATTAAGCAAGCGCACCGGGAGACGATGATGCGGATCAGGGCGTCGTCGTCCGTGCCAGCGCCCTATCACCACACACACACACATGTCAGCGACGATACAGTAAACGAAAAAGATGATATCTTCCTGATGCAGAGTAAGGCGAAGGCAGACGGGGCTGCAAGTCTCTCTCTCTCTCTCACTCACACACACACACACACACACACACACACACACACACACACACACACACACACACACACACACACCCAACAAAGGGTAGCACGACACAACCTTGATGGCGCGGTGGAGGCGCTTTGCAAAGAACTTTGGCGGGTTGCGTGCGCACTCGAGAACAGCGAGGAAGGCAAACTCCAGGTCGCCGCTCATCTCCTTCTTCACGGCCTTGGACAGGTCGTAGTCGCTGATGCCCCGGTACGCCTCGCACACCGCTGCATCGTGTGTGTGTGTGTGTGTGTGTGTGTGTGTGTGTGTGTGTGTGTGTGTGTGTGTGTGTGTGTGTGTGTGTGTGTGTGTGTGTAGTGTGTGTGTGTGTGTGTGTGTGT